TCCCTGGGCTGCGCACCGCATCCCGGGCCCTCTGGGCACCGCTGCTGCTGACGCCAGGCAGTGCCGCACATCCCTGGGGGCTCCTCCCAGGCTGGTGTCCAGCGTCACACCTGCTGGGCGGTCACCCGTGGGGCCAGAATGCCCTCATTCATTTCCTTTTCTCCTTCCACACTCGGCTCCCACCATAAAGCTCTCCTGTTTTAATGCTTGTCTCTGTGCTGCTTCCTGCTGCTCCGCTCCTGGGCGCCCTTGTGACTGGCCTGCAGGCTGCCTTGCCCGGTCACCGCAGGTCTGTGATTCCCAGAAGGGTGGCCGCCCTCTAGGGTAGGAGGCCTTCCAGCCCCACTGGCTAGGCGTGGCCTTTGGAGGACTTCCCATCAGGCCACAAGAACCACGTCTGTCCAGGGTGGGCCAGCGTGGCCAGTGTCTGCGTGTCTCCCCGTCCACCTGGGCCAGGGCTCGGCACTTGCATCCAGGAGTACACAGGGGTGCCCAGCTCTGAGGGCAGGCGGTGTCCTTGCTCCACTGGCTCTGCCCACCCCAGCAGTTTCCATGGGAACAGCTTGGATGCAGGAGCTGCCCCTCCCTCCAGGGGTAGGCAGGCTGGGCATCCTCCTCCCAGTCCAGTAACCCTTCCTTCCCCCAACTTCTGTTCCTAGAGTTTTGAACCTGGAGTTGGGGGTGGGGGCAGTGGGATAGCAGCCACTGGGCAAGCACCAAGCTGATTCACGCAGGGACTCCCACAGCCCAGAGAGGGAGAGGGAGAGAGAGAAAATCAATGGTGAGAGGGAATCATTGATGGGCTGCCTCCTGTACACCCCACACTGGGGGGTCGAGCCCACAACCTGGACATGTGCCCTGACTGGGAATCGAACCATGACCTCCTCGTTCACAGATCAACGCCCAACCACTGCGTCACACAGGCCGGCCCTTCATGTGGAGCCCACAAATGGGGTTGTGGCGAATGTGTCACGACCTTGCCCAGGGCCCCCATTTCATGGTTCCACTCCTGCCCAGCTAGAATGTTCCCTGGCTCAGCATCTTGTTAAGGGGGTGCTGGGAGGCTGGAGTGGGCCTCAGCAGGCCTGCCCAGGGCAGTGACAGCCCCTGCCTGCTGGACGCTGAGGTACCTGCAGAGTCTGGCGCCTCCACACGCCTGCAGGGCCAGCAGGCGCGGAGCAGCCCATCTGCTCCTCCTGGGCCGACCCGGGTGTGAATTCCAGGAGTGGTGCTGGGGGTGTCCGGTCCTGGCCAGAGCTCTGCCCCCATGTCCTGCCAGGCGGGAGCTGGCAGCACCAGCAGGCCCTCTGGTTGGACCCCAGGCCGGCACCTTGCGGTACAGGAGGGCTCAGCCCGCACAGCACCGTGCTGAGCCCCCAGGCGCGGCCCCTTTCA